AGTAACAAGAGCTCGAGTATATATTAGTCCAGTGTTAGAATTGGTGTAAACATGTCTGGATGTATATGTATAATATATATATATATATACCCATTTTTACAAAATTAATCATATCTGCTCTTCTACTTGTTGTATCTTCTATCCAATGTTGAACAAGACACTACTATAGATATAGATTGAGCATAGAGAATAGAGGTGAGAGGGATTAATGGTTTATAGATTCTTTATAATGATTTCAATTTTTAGTGCAGCTGGTTAACCCCATGGAAAAAGGGTAGCCAAGTTTGGCTTTAGAGAGACATCTAGAAGAGAAAAATTTATCAAGAATCTAGTGAGACTATTGAGGGGAAAAACATTTAAGAAAATTAGATTAAACTATAAGAATAACTCATATGCAGACTCTGAGCATCTAGCTATGCAGCGGACAAGTTTGGAAGATAGTTGTCCAGTAGGTTAGGTATTGGTGACGTTTACATCGAGGGTGAGCACGCTTGGCGAGTTCTCCTAGAGAGAACACTTGGTCGACAGGTGAATAATATGAAGGGTAACTTGACAAGTAGACAATCTTTTCAGTTTATTAAGCAAGTTTTATAGTTGAATACTGTGAACTAAGGAGATTTAATCTCACTGAAGACCTAATCAGTTTTACCTTGTTTATGATTCGCAGCTTTGGATGGCTTCCAGCTGGTTCATAGTCAATGACTCCATAAACTTGATTCAAAATATGATCATTAATTCCTATGTTATTTCTGAAAAACAAAAGAATGAATCCAACGAACACAATTCGATCTGGGTCGCATTAGCATGAGCTGAAGCATTGGATCAACAATGTATTTGGATAATTGAGAAGTTACAGTCATGACAACAATCCATACCTACAAATGAATGGCTCGAACCTTCATGAATTTTCATAATTGGTTCTTGGATCATTGTTATTTGCAGTTGCTATTGATATCTTCCTGCTATTAAAGATAAGAATGTTTAATCGCATCATTAGCATTGGTAAATCTGTAGATAAGAAGAGATTCATAAAGGTAGCATGTGTAAGCTGCAAGGGCTAACGAGGTATCTTTATCTACAAAAATGCCTTCACTAAATAAAGTGAAGACCAAACCATTGTAAAAAGGTGTTCAAAAGCAAGGCCCACCACCAAGGTGGCAATAATTGCGATGAAAAGTCCCCTAAGGAAACTAAGGTTTCTGTCGTCAAATTGACTACTCTAACAATGGCTTTTGAAAATCTTAAAGGTAATAACTTAGCATAAGCGGAGAATTATAACACTTTGCTGTAGACAATGGCGAATGATGAGCCCTCCACCCTAGGTCTTCCTCTGAATAGCACGACTAGAGAGGGAACAAGTTAGAAATGCTCAGGAGACAGCTTTGGAGAATATCGTTGATGAAATAACTAGCAAAGTTGTTAGCTAACGGCAGCAAACAATACTTGACTCCCTAAGTTGACGCAATCCCACACTGAAAAAAGTGAGGGGATTCTGAAGTACTTGATTTTACATCAAGATCACCTGATAAAGAATCGAGGAAAGTGGCCCA